TCGCCACCAGCCTACTCTTGTAGATGGTGACCTGCCCCTTGTCATCGGTCTTGATCCTCAGCACCCACTTGCATTGTATCGCTTTCTTCCCATCAGGCAGCACCACCAGATCCCATGTCCTATTCTCCAGCAGACTCTGGTACTCAGCATCCCTAGAAGCCAGCCACTTGTCCCTATCTGGTCCAGCTAATGCCTCCTCCATGCTAGCTGGTTCCTCTGGTGCAGGGGCAAGAAAACAGTACGCAGGCTCATCCTCCTCATCCGGGTCATAGCCATGAGGTAGAATCAGCAATGCCTCTTCGGTCCCTAGCTGCTGCTCTGCTGCATCAGTTCCTGCAGTCAGCTTCTTAGTAGCCATACGGGTACGTCCTGGCCTGGAGACGGGTGTCTCCCATCCCTTCATAACGACACCCTTCGGCTTCTTAGTTTTTCCCTGCTGCTTCTCTCCTCCCTCGGGTCCAGCAGCTCCACTAGTGCTGCCGCCAGTTTCCACACCATTTTCTCCACCAGCAGATGCCTCCTGTACCTTCTCTCCATCACCATTTCCAGCAGCTGCCTCCTCTCCCTCCTCCCACACACTAGGAGTCAGGTCCAGCTGCATGGTGATCTGCTCCATCTGCTGGGACACCCTTGCCTCCGGCTGTTTCTCCCAGCTCCCATACATCATGCCCTCAATGAATTTCACATCCCTGCTGTCAAACAACACACCCTTGGATGGTTCCCACAGCAGCCATCCCTTGCTCTCAGCAGCCAGCCCCAAATGCACACACCAGATTGCACTCGCCCCCAACTTACTGCGGTAGGTCTTGGGGACGTGGGCGACTGCCATGCAACCGAACACCCTCAGCATGTCCACCGGCGGCTTCCTCCCAAGCCACCTCTCCAACGGCACCCACGAGTCATCCCCAACCTTGGTGAGCACCTTGTTCCTAGCGACAGTGGCGTGCCGGACAGCATGAGGCCACATAGAATTGCTCAGCCCAGATTCTATGAGCAGCGCCCTAGCTGTCTCCAGAATGGTCCGGTTTGCCCGTTCTGCTACACCATTGGACTGTGGGGTATAAGCCGTGGTCAGCTCTCTCTGGATGCCCTGCTTCTTGAGCCAGGCCGTCATTTCAGCTCCAAGGAACTCACCACCCCGGTCTGTCCTAATCCGCTTCACTACACACTCCGCCTGCTTCTCCACGAATGGCAGCCAATCGTCCCGTATCGTGGAGGCGGCGTGGTCCTTCTGCTTCAGCGGATACGCCCACATCAGCCTGCTCCAGTCATCCACAATTGTAAGAAAATACCGCTCCCCCTTGTGCCCTTGCACCGGCAGCGGCCCCACCAAGTCCATGTGGACCAGCTCCAAAGGCTTCTTGCTCCTGCCAGCCACACTATGGAAAGGGAAACGGGTGAACTTTGAAAGCAAACAGATTTCACAGTTGTCATCGGGTGGCTGTCCGTTCAGCTTCAGACCCTTAACGGCTCCATCCTTCTCCAGCTGCTTCAGCAAAGGCATTGCCACATGCCCTAAGCGCCGGTGTGCCGTTGCCCAATCTGTCTCCCCAGATCTGGCCGACACTTTCACACCAACCCCTCCAACGGCATTGCACTCCCCCTGGGATGCAGACCCCTCTCCAGCCTGCCCCCCACCATGCCACGCCAGGGCCGGCAGCTGCCACATAGATCTGTACACGTCCTTGCTCTCGTGCAGATCCCAAAGCACCCGATTGCCCAGCTTCCCCTTATAAGTGCGTGCCCCATCCGTGTTGGTGTTCACCCCAGCCTTGCCAAGCTTACGGAGGGAGATAAGGTTGGCCTTCAGGTCGGGGACGAAGAGAACGTCGTGCAGCACCACCGGCTTGCCATCCGCTCCCTTAAACGCAGCTCGTCCCGCACCAGCCACCTTCAACATGTGTCCAGAGGCGGAGCACACTTCATTGATCGGTGCAGCTCGTACTTCGTCCAGCAGGTCCTTGCGCGGCGTCATCGTCCAAGCAGCGCCTGTGTCCAACACCCAATAGTCTAGGGGGTGCAGCTCTGCTCCAACTTTGGCAGAGGCGTCTCCTTGCTCCCCCTTGTCTCCCACATGGAAGAATTGGCCCGCGGTGCGCTCCTTCTTCTTCTCCGCACCGCCGTTGCCCTTCGGGTTGTTGTCGGACGAATCAGCGACCATGTTGGCGCCGTTTTTCTGGTTCCTCCGCGCGCCGCCATCCTGGTGACGATTCTGGGGGGTCCATCCATCGGGTTTCTTATAGCACAAAAACCAGGGGTGCCCTTCCTTCTCACAATACCAGCAACTCCCTTTCATTTTGCCACCAGCACCCGACTTGCCCCCACGTCCAGATTTCGCACCGCGACCCCAACCGGTACCTCCTTGTTGGTCGTTGGAGTCGTCGTCTTTCTTTGCACCGCGTCCAGCACCACCAAAGCCACGTCCTCTGCCACGTCGGCTCCCTTGCATCCCGTAGCCGCTGCTGCCGTCGTCTCCACCCCTCAGTTGGCGGCGACGGAAGTCCTCCTCCAGAATCTTCGTCCGCACCCACTCGAGCGTCCACAAGCTCTGGTTCTGCGGCAGGCTCAATCCGCTCGTAAATTGAAGCCACGATTCCGGCAGCAGCGAGAGCATCTTCAAGCACTTGGTCTGCTCCGGGTAGGTGATTCCCGCGGTCGCCAACTTCGCGTAGAGGTCACGCATCTTGTCCAGGACTGGTTGCACCGGCTCTCCCTCGCTCAGGCGCAACGCGGACAGCTCCCTCTCCAGCATCAACGTTGCGACAACGGAGGTCGGGGCGTGCAGCTCCTTCAACACGGTCCACGCCTTCGGACCGCATTCAACCTCCGGCAGCAGGTGCATGACGTGGTGACGCTGGTTCAGCTCCAAACTCTGCGACATCAAATAGTAGCCAGCCGAGGAGCGCTCGTCCCAATCTTCCTGCAGCGTGGGGTCACTCGGTCTAGGCTCCTCCCCAATCATTAGTTTCAGCAAACCGATCTGACGGAAATATAATTGCATTTTCCAGGCCCAATCATCATAGCCCTCACCATTGAACTTCTCGACGGTTGAAATTCTTCAGCACCTCCTTGACAAGCGAGCCCTGGTTGGTTCGCGCTCCCCTTGGCGCTGAAAGACCAGAATCTTGGCTGCTGCTACGATCTTGGGCTGAAGATTCACCAGCTCCCGCCGAGGTGTTGCCCGCCATAGCTACCTATAACGAGGATCACTATAACGCAGCTCTGATACCAGCTTGTTGGTGTAAGGGCCTAATAAACTCAAGCTATTAGGACTTAACCAAACTTAAAACCTCTCCTCGGGGTCACCTCCAAGGGTCCCTGGGTGCCTGGTACAAGACCAGCCCCTATCCTCGGGTCCGAGTTTGTAGAGAGAGGGATCAAGAAGGACTTAATCAAAACAGCAAGAGTACCTTGAACGTCGCGCAGCGTGCCGTGCAGACCGTCGGTCGGATTAAGCTGAGAATTCGCTATATCGAAGCTCGCTCCAAGAGCTTTAAACTAAGCCAAGTTGCCTCGCGAAAAGTTCTGCCATTGCGAAGTTATGGCTCGGACAGCGTTTGCCTAGCGTTGGAGTGCTAGCATACTAGCGTTGACTCGGGTAGCATTCCGCCGTCGATGCGCAGACGAGAAAGAGAAATTCCAGCGAGGAAGGAATTCGCTTGAATCAATTTGACTATATTCAGGTACAAACAGAGAAGGATTAAATAGTTCTAGCTAGCAAGGATCTTGGGAATCAACCTGGGAACAACCAGGGATGATCCCAAATAATTCCAAGCAACAGAACCAACCTGGCTGGACAAAATAGCAGGTGGTAGGTTGGTAAACAACCTCTGGTTCTGTTTTTCCAACCTGGGAAAACAACAACTGTTGGTGTAAGGGCCTAATAAACTCAAGCTATTAAGACTTAATCAAACTTAAAACCTCTCCTCGGGGTCACCTCCAAGGGTCCCTGGGTGCCTGGTACAAGACCAGCCCCTATCCTCGGGTCCGAGTTTGTAGAGAGAGGGATCAAGAAGGACTTAGTCAAAACAGCAAGAGTACCTTGAACGTCGTGCAGCGTGCCGTGCAGACCGTCGGTCGGATTAAGCTGAGAATTCGCTATATCGAAGCTCGCTCCAAGAGCTTAAAAATGAGCCAAGTTGCCTCGCGAAAAGTTCTGCCATTACTAAGTTCTGGCTCGGACAGCGTTTGCCTAGCGTTCGAGTGCTAGCATACTAGCGTTGACTCGGGTAGCATTCCGCCGTCGAATAGCGCAGAAACGAAATTCCAGCGAGGAAGGAATTCGCTTGAATCAATTTTACTATATTCAGGTACAAACAGAGAAGGATTAAATACTTCTAGCTAGCAAGGATCTTGGGAATCAACCTGGGAACAACCAGGGGTGATCCCAAATAATTCCAAGCAACAGAACCAACCTGGCTGGACAAAATAGCAGGTGGTAGGTTGGTAAACAACCTCTGGTTCTGTTTTTCCAACCTGGGAAAACAACAACCAGGTTCAGGTTCTAAAAACAGAACCTGTTTTGTCTTTGCCCAACCAGCCAAATGCTGGTTCCGCTGGTTTCCCCTGGCCTTGTAGCATGCAGATACAGACAAACAACATCCAACCTTCACCTAAATTGTACCCCTATAGTGCCTTCCCTGCTACACTATAGTTAACCAAACAAAACAGTACAATTTTGAGTTGGATAGAACTGAATCTGCGCAATCAACTCAACCGAACTGCAAAGCTTCCATCTTGGGTTCCTTTGCGAGCTCGTCCTTTCTGCTTGCACTGTTCATAGCGCATACAATGTTGTGCCGAAGCGCACATTGCGCGAGTACCTGCAAATGCATCAAGCGAAAAATGCGAAAGCAAACAAACACACGAACATTCCATTCATACCCAAATGCATTCGCACACGCATACTCGTACAAACAGACGGCAGGATGTCGTGCAATGTAAATTTGCACCCAACACACTCCCCCTCAGCCTGCCGGCTGCATCCCCATCATTCCATGCTAGTTCATGCTCATTCCACTCATGCGCACACAACGCCAATGAGGCTCATCCGCAAGCCTCTTGGTAAGAAAGTCTGCTGGCTGCTGGTGAGTCTTGATGTAGATTGGATTCACCGTCCCCCTCTTCACCTCCTTACGCAGCCAGTGCCACTTGATACGCATGTGCTTGTTCAGCCCATGAAGCACAGCGTTTCTGGCCATCCCAAGAGCCCCCTTGCTATCACAAAACAGCGGCGTAGCAACTTTCTGCTCCTGGCCAATCTCCTCTAACAGCCTCCTCAGCCAAATCACCTCCTTCACCCCATGGAACATCGCCATGTACTCTGATTCTACGGAAGAGAGTGCCGTCTCCGTCTGCTTCTTGGACCTCCAACTAACAGGTCCTCCCCCAACTACGCAGATGTATCCTCCCACAGATGAGGAATCCTCCTTCTCAGAAGCCCACGTAGCATCGGTAAAGCAAGTGAGAAATAGCTTGCCTTCTCCAAGCCTCTCCCCCTTCTCTTTCAGCACCTCCACCCCTTTCTGCTTCACCTGTGCAGATGCGGAGTATTGAACTCCAATGCTTGGGTGAGAGTTCAGGTACTTCACCACACGCTCAGCTGCATCCACCTGCTCCTCTGATGGATTCTGCACCACCCTAGCCAGCTGCCCAACCGAGAAAGAGATGTCGGGCCTCGTGTGAACTGCTGCGTACAAGAGGCTGCCCACCAAGGACTGAAATTGCTGCTGCTCTTCAGCTTCAACCCCTTCATCCTCTGCAGCCTTCACAAGCTTGAATTCTGCTGGCAGGGGAGTTGCAACCTTGCGCTCATTCTCAATCCCATACTTCTCCCCCAGCTCCTTGATGAACTTCTCCTGGTGCAGCTTCAACCACCTGTGATCTGGATCCCTCTCCACGTGCATCCCGAGGTAGTACTTTACCTCCCCAAGGTTCTTGCACTTGAAGTTTTCCATCAGTTGCTGCTGCACTTTCTGGATCTCCTTCATGCTGCTGCTGAAGAGAAGAATGTCGTCCACATAGACCAGAAACAGCACCAGCTTCTCCCCCTTGCCCTTGAGAAAGAGGCTCTCATCACAGCTGCTGGTCCTGAATCCCATCTCCTCTAAAACAGCTGCCAACTTCTGGTACCAGCAGCGTGGCGCCTGCTTCAAGCCGTAGATGGACTTGTTGAGCTTGCACACCCTGCCCGTATCATCCTCATACCCAGGCGGCTGCGTCATGTACACATCCTCCTCTAAAATCCCATTCAGGAATGCCGTTGAAATATCCATCTGAATGATGAATTTCCCACTAACAGCTGCATCTGCCAACAAGACACGGAGGGTAGGGGGTTTGGCAGTGGGAGCAAAGATCTCGTTGAAGTCCTGCTTCTCCTTCTGCATAAACCCCTTCGCCACCAGCCTACTCTTGTAGATGGTGACCTGCCCCTTGTCATCGGTCTTGATCCTCAGCACCCACTTGCATTGTATCGCTTTCTTCCCATCAGGCAGCACCACCAGATCCCATGTCCTATTCTCCAGCAGACTCTGGTACTCAGCATCCCTAGAAGCCAGCCACTTGTCCCTATCTGGTCCAGCTAATGCCTCCTCCATGCTAGCTGGTTCCTCTGGTGCAGGGGCAAGAAAACAGTACGCAGGCTCATCCTCCTCATCCGGGTCATAGCCATGAGGTAGAATCAGCAATGCCTCTTCGGTCCCTAGCTGCTGCTCTGCTGCATCAGTTCCTGCAGTCAGCTTCTTAGTAGCCATACGGGTACGTCCTGGCCTGGAGACGGGTGTCTCCCATCCCTTCATAACGACACCCTTCGGCTTCTTAGTTTTTCCCTGCTGCTTCTCTCCTCCCTCGGGTCCAGCAGCTCCACTAGTGCTGCCGCCAGTTTCCACACCATTTTCTCCACCAGAAGATGCCTCCTGTACCTTCTCTCCATCACCATTTCCAGCAGCTGCCTCCTCTCCCTCCTCCCACACACTAGGAGTCAGGTCCAGCTGCATGGTGATCTGCTCCATCTGCTGGGACACCCTTGCCTCCGGCTGTTTCTCCCAGCTCCCATACATCATGCCCTCAATGAATTTTACATCCCTGCTGTCAAACAACACACCCTTGGATGGTTCCCACAGCAGCCATCCCTTGCTCTCAGCAGCCAGCCCCAAATGCACACACCAGATTGCACTCGCCCCCAACTTACTGCGGTAGGTCTTGGGGACGTGGGCGACTGCCATGCAACCGAACACCCTCAGCATGTCCACCGGCGGCTTCCTCCCAAGCCACCTCTCCAACGGCACCCACGAGTCATCCCCAACCTTGGTGAGCACCCTGTTCCTAGCGACGGTGGCGTGCCGGACAGCATGAGGCCACATAGAGTTGCTCAGCCCAGATTCTATGAGCAGCGCCCTAGCTGTCTCCAGAATGGTCCGGTTTGCCCGTTCTGCTACACCATTGGACTGTGGGGTATAAGCCGTGGTCAGCTCTCTCTGGATGCCCTGCTTCTTGAGCCAGGCCGTCATTTCAGCTCCAAGGAACTCACCACCCCGGTCTGTCCTAATCCGCTTCACTACACACTCCGCCTGCTTCTCCACGAATGGCAGCCAATCGTCCCGTATCGTGGAGGCGGCGTGGTCCTTCTGCTTCAGCGGATACGCCCACATCAGCCTGCTCCAGTCATCCACAATTGTAAGAAAATACCGCTCCCCCTTGTGCCCTTGCACCGGCAGCGGCCCCACCAAGTCCATGTGGACCAGCTCCAAAGGCTTCTTGCTCCTGCCAGCCACACTATGGAAAGGGAAACGGGTGAACTTTGAAAGCAAACAGATTTCACAGTTGTCATCGGGTGGCTGTCCGTTCAGCTTCAGACCCTTAACGGCTCCATCCTTCTCCAGCTGCTTCAGCAAAGGCATTGCCACATGCCCTAAGCGCCGGTGTGCCGTTGCCCAATCTGTCTCCCCAGATCTGGCCGACACTTTCACACCCCCCCTCCAACGGCATTGCACTCCCCCTGGGATGCAGACCCCTCTCCAGCCTGCCCCCCACCATGCCACGCCAGGGCCGGCAGCTGCCACATAGATCTGTACACGTCCTTGCTCTCGTGCAGATCCCAAAGCACCCGATTGCCCAGCTTCCCCTTATAAGTGCGTGCCCCATCCGTGTTGGTGTTCACCCCAGCCTTGCCAAGCTTACGGAGGGAGATAAGGTTGGCCTTCAGGTCGGGGACGAAGAGAACGTCGTGCAGCACCACCGGCTTGCCATCCGCTCCCTTAAACGCAGCTCGTCCCGCACCAGCCACCTTCAACATGTGTCCAGAGGCGGAGCACACTTCATTGATCGGTGCAGCTCGTACTTCGTCCAGCAGGTCCTTGCGCGGCGTCATCGTCCAAGCAGCGCCTGTGTCCAACACCCAATAGTCTAGGGGGTGCAGCTCTGCTCCAACTTTGGCAGAGGCGTCTCCTTGCTCCCCCTTGTCTCCCACATGGAAGAATTGGCCCGCGGTGCGCTCCTTCTTCTTCTCCGCACCGCCGTTGCCCTTCGGGTTGTTGTCGGACGAATCAGCGACCATGTTGGCGCCGTTTTTCTGGTTCCTCCGCGCGCCGCCATCCTGGTGACGATTCTGGGGGGTCCATCCATCGGGTTTCTTATAGCACAAAAACCAGGGGTGCCCTTCCTTCTCACAATACCAGCAACTCCCTTTCATTTTGCCACCAGCACCCGACTTGCCCCCACGTCCAGATTTCGCACCGCGACCCCAACCGGTACCTCCTTGTTGGTCGTTGGAGTCGTCGTCTTTCTTTGCACCGCGTCCAGCACCACCGAAGCCACGTCCTCTGCCACGTCGGCTCCCTTGCATCCCGTAGCCGCTGCTGCCGTCGTCTCCACCCCTCAGTTGGCGGCGACGGAAGTCCTCCTCCAGAATCTTCGTCCGCACCCACTCGAGTGTCCACAAGCTCTGGTTCTGCGGCAGGCTCAATCCGCTCGTAAATTGAAGCCACGATTCCGGCAGCAGCGAGAGCATCTTCAAGCACTTGGTCTGCTCCGGGTAGGTGATTCCCGCGGTCGCCAACTTCGCGTAGAGGTCGCGCATCTTGTCCAGGACTGGTTGCACCGGCTCTCCCTCGCTCAGGCGCAACGCGGACAGCTCCCTCTCCAGCATCAACGTTGCGACAACGGAGGTCGGGGCGTGCAGCTCCTTCAACACGGTCCACGCCTTCGGACCGCATTCAACCTCCGGCAGCAGGTGCATGACGTGGTGACGCTGGTTCAGCTCCAAACTCTGCGACATCAAATAGTAGCCAGCCGAGGAGCGCTCGTCCCAATCTTCCTGCAGCGTGGGGTCACTCGGTCTAGGCTCCTCCCCAATCATTAGTTTCAGCAAACCGATCTGACGGAAATATAATTGCATTTTCCAGGCCCAATCATCATAGCCCTCACCATTGAACTTCTCGACGGTGAAATTCTTCAGCACCTCCTTGACAAGCGAGCCCTGGTTTGTTCGCGCTCCCCTTGGCGCTGAAAGACCAGAATCTTGGCTGCCGCTACGATCTTGGGCTGAAGATTCACCAGCTCCCGCCGAGGTGTTGCCCGCCATAGCTACCTATAACGAGGATCACTATAACGCAGCTCTGATACCAGCTTGTTGGTGTAAGGGCCTAATAAACTCAAGCTATTAAGACTTAATCAAACTTAAAACCTCTCCTCGGGGTCACCTCCAAGGGTCCCTGGGTGCCTGGTACAAGACCAGCCCCTATCCTCGGGTCCGAGTTTGTAGAGAGAGGGATCAAGAAGGACTTAGTCAAAACAGCAAGAGTACCTTGAACGTCGTGCAGCGTGCCGTGCAGACCGTCGGTCGGATTAAGCTGAGAATTCGCTATATCGAAGCTCGCTCCAAGAGCTTAAAAATGAGCCAAGTTGCCTCGCGAAAAGTTCTGCCATTACTAAGTTCTGGCTCGGACAGCGTTTGCCTAGCGTTGGAGTGCTAGCATACTAGCGTTGACTCGGGTAGCATTCCGCCGTCGAATAGCGCAGAAACGAAATTCCAGCGAGGAAGGAATTCGCTTGAATCAATTTTACTATATTCAGGTACAAACAGAGAAGGATTAAATAGTTCTAGCTAGCAAGGACCTTGGGAATCAACCTGGGAACAACCAGGGATGATCCCAAATAATTCCAAGCAACAGAACCAACCTGGCTGGACAAAATAGCAGGTGGTAGGTTGGTAAACAACCTCTGGTTCTGTTTTTCCAACCTGGGAAAACAACAACCAGGTTCAGGTTCTAAAAACAGAACCTGTTTTGTCTTTGCCCAACCAGCCAAATGCTGGTTCCGCTGGTTTCCCCTGGCCTTGTAGCATGCAGATACAGACAAACAACATCCAACCTTCACCTAAATTGTACCCCTATAGTGCCTTCCCTGCTACACTATAGTTAACCAAACAAAACAGTACAATTTTGAGTTGGATAGAACTGAATCTGCGCAATCAACTCAACCGAACTGCAAAGCTTCCATCTTGGGTTCCTTTGCGAGCTCGTCCTTTCTGCTTGCACTGTTCATAGCGCATACAATGTTGTGCCGAAGCGCACATTGCGCGAGTACCTGCAAATGCATCAAGCGAAAAATGCGAAAGCAAACAAACACACGAACATTCCATTCATACCCAAATGCATTCGCACACGCATACTCGTACAAACAGACGGCAGGATGTCGTGCAATGTAAATTTGCACCCAACAACAACCAGGTTCAGGTTCTAAAAACAGAACCTGTTTTGTCTTTGCCCAACCAGCCAAATGCTGGTTCCGCTGGTTTCCCCTGGCCTTGTAGCATGCAGATACAGACAAACAACATCCAACCTTCACCTAAATTGTACTCCTATAGTGCCTTCCCTGCTACACTATAGTTAACCAAACAAAACAGTACAATTTCGAGTTGGATAGAACTGAATCTGCGCAATCAACTCAACCGAACTGCAAAGCTTCCATCTTGGGTTCCTTTGCGAGCTCGTCCTTTCTGCTTGCACTGTTCATAGCGCGTACAATGTTGTGCCGAAGCGCACATTGCGCGAGTACCTGCAAATGCATCAAGCGAAAATTGCGAAAGCAAACAAACACACGAACATTCCATTCACACCCAAATGCATTCGCACACGCATACTCGTACAAACAGACGGCAGGATGTTGTGCAATGTAAATTTGCACCCAACACCCGCGAGTGGCACCACCCACTACGTACGACTCTTGCAGCACTAGGTGTCTTTCCGTCATCTGCCGATCCATCGCTTTCGTCCAACGTACCTCGACCTCGTTCTTCATTCTAGTTTACGTTGACGACCTGAACTTCACCACTCCCGACACAGCGCACGGACCTCCGTAAAGGAGGCACTATAGAGGAGACACACTTGCACTGAATTTGGTAAACTGCAGCGCTACCTTGGCATGCAAATCACCAGGGACACGTCAGCTCGTACCATCTCGTTGGCGTAGTCGCATATGGTCGAGCACGTCCCCACGCGGTTTTGCTTCCCGTTCTCCAATCTACGGCTCACCCCTCTTGCTGTGGATCATGGGCTCGCAGCTTCACCTTCGGATGAGTCATTTAAGCTCAGCGGTCCATATCCTGAGTTGGTACGCTGCCTCATGTACCTGATGACCTACACTCGCCCAGACCTTCCTTTTCCTCTAAGCGTCCTGGCGCACTTTGTTGCGCCTGGGAGACACCGGCGAGAGCGGGGGTGCGAAGAGGGTTGGTTGCTAAGAGGGTGGCAAAGTATGTGGCGAGCACATCAGGCATGGGAGTTGTCCTTGGAGGGAAGCAGCTAGTTACACTCACATGTTACTCAGACTCGTTGTTCATGGACTATGCCCAGACGTTGAGGTCTACACAGGATTACTGCTTCAGCCTTCGGACCGGAGCTGTTTCGTGGAGGTCGAGTCGGGCGTCGTCCGTCGCTAGCTCCAGCTGTGAGGCAGAGGTGTATGCTGCAGCGATGACCGCACAGGAGCTTCGCTTGTTGTCTTTCCTCCTCAACGACCTAGGTGAGCAGCCTCGCTTTCCCCCAGTCTTGTTCGCTGACAACAGGTCTGTTGTCCTGTTGTGCCAGGAGCCTTGCCTGGTTGGGAAGGCGAAGCACATCCAACTTTGTTACTTCCTTCTCCGCAAGTTGCAGCAGCATGGCAAGGCCCGCGTAGTACGTGTGGTCTATGAGGCCAACATTGCATATATCTTCACCAAGGCGTTGCCGCCTTGTGACCACCAGCGTTTCTGCACCCAGCCTGGCCTTGTACCTGTAGGTTCACACTTGCTTGTGTGGAGATGCTTTGACTTGTATGTTTTATCTCACTATATTTACTATATATCTGCTTGTGGACTAGCCTTGTAGCCGCTTGCTTGTTCTCGAACTGTATGGTGACTTTGTGATCCACCCTGGGATTTCTTGCTTGTTCTTGTTAACTGGTCTTGTGAGTGTTGCTTGTTCTTGTTGACGGGTCTTGTGACCCGTCGTGATCCACCCTGAGATATGTGCTGCTTTCTACTCCACCGCCGTCACCTATGTCAAACTATAATTGTTTAAAATTGTATTTGCTAGTCTATGTGGTCATTATTATTTCTAGTCAATTCATTCACGAGTTGTTATTTTGACATGGTATAGAGCGATGAGATCCTATGGGCTCACCGCCCCATACCCCGACCTAGCCTGTAGCGCCTCATTACCCGTAGCGCCTAGTCACCCGTAGCGCCCTACCCGTCGATCCCATCACCCGTCAGCCCAATAGCCCCGCCTGTCACCCGTCACGACCTAGAACGGCCCCTGCGGGCCTGCCAGATTGCGCTAGAAAGGGAACCCCGTGAGTTCCCCCACGTCGCGACCCTGTCCCCTTCTCGTCGCCTCCCGTTCCCCTCCCTATCGCGTCCCCATTGCCCTCCGCGTCGCGTCCCCGTCGTCTCCAGTCCCCTTCTCATCGCATCTCGTCCCCTTCCCGTCGTGTTCACGTCGCCTCTTGTCCCCTCCCGTCGAGTCTCTGTCGCCCTCCGCGTCGCGTCCCCGTCGCCTCCCGTCCCCTCTGGTTTGCATCCCCGTCGCCTCCCGTCCCCATCCCATCGCCTCCCCGTCGCCTCCCGTCCCCTTCCGTTCGCACCCCCGTCTCCTCCCATCCCCATCCCTGCCACCTCCCGTCCCCATTCCGTCGCCTCCCTGTCGCCTCCCCGTCCCCTGTAACCGCCACCCCACCCTGTACCCACTGCCCCATAAGCTGCCCCACCCGCCGCCCCACCTGCTACCACAACCGTAACCTGCTGCCCCACCTGTTCCTCGCTTCCCCACCCGTAACCAGTCGCCCCACCCACCATCCCACCTATACCCGCTGCCCCACCAGCTACCCCCCAGCTAGTAGGCCCCGCTACCCGTAACGTTCGGCGTGTTGCAAGTGTGCACACCAGACTCATCAAGCACTCAAGAATGAGTTTATGATGAAGAACCAGAGCCTTGGTTTCAAGATTCAAGTGATTTCGAAGCCTGCGAAAAGGGTACACTTCAAGATAGTGAGAATAGTTACATTACTTTGTGTAGTGTAACATTCCACTTGGTGTAGGCCCTTATGGAGGGTAATTTCGGGACCCTTCTTGGTTGGGGACAGTGTGGCACTGTTCCACATTATTGTCCCTCGGCTCTTGGGGTTTGTAGGAGCTGGGAATCATTCCCAACTTGTAACTCTTCCTAATTTGTGTTCCAAGACTATAGTTGCTGCCATAGTGCCGTTTGTTCAAACTCATTTTGCGTCATCAATACTTGATGAAATCGTGCAATTTAAATTAACTTTTGTAGACGACGTTCAGGAGCTCTAGATCCAATTTGAATCAGGTCATTTGGAGCTGTGACCAAAACAGTATGAATGTGTGAAGCCGTTGTGCAGAAATCCGTCTGTTGACTCTATCTTTCGTTTTAGGCACATTCAAGCCTATTGTGACTATAACAAGTGGTATCAGAGCGCCTTGGAGCAGCTTCGGTAATGGCTGGACCTTAAGAAAAGGGTGGCAGAGGTGCTGGTGGCAATGGAGAAGCCCAAGAACAAGGTCAACCCCGTGATTCAGCCATGGCGCCCGTGCAACCTACAACTGGACCTTCTAGGGATGAACCAAGAGTGTTCGGGCTTGACAAGTTCAACGGTGATAATTTTGTTGAATGGTCCTTCAAGATGGAGAATATATTCGACCACTATGACCTGCTGGAGGTGATGGAAGGAACGGAGAAGCGTCCCGAGAACGACCCGGAGAAGAGCCCGTGGGCTCGGAAGAGCGTATAAGGCTACCTCCTACTTGGGCAAGCGTTGGGGAGCAGTCAAATCCGTCACATCAAGCCATTCCAGCGTGAACCAGAGAAGGGACCAAAGGCATGGGCTGCTCTCAAGGGTGTACACGCTCCTGCAACATGTTGGGTGCAAATGCACATTGCACGACATCCTGCCGTCTGTTTGTACGAGTATGCGTGTGCGAATGCATTTGCGTGTGAATGGTGTGTTCGTGTGTTTGTTTGCTTTCGCATTTTTTCGCTTGATGCATTTGCAGGTACTCGCGCAATGTGCGCTTTGGCACAACATTGTATGCGCTATGAACAGTGCAAGCAGGAAGGACGAGCTCGCAAAGGAACCCAAGATGGAAGCTTTGCAGTTCGGTTGAGTTGATTGCGCAGATTCAGTTCTATCCAACTCGGAATTGTACTGTTTTGTTTGGTTAACTATAGTGTAGCAGGGAAGGCACTATAGGGGTACAATTTAGGTGAAGGTTGGATGTTGTTTGTCTGTATCTGCATGCTACAAGGCCAGGGGAAACCAGCGGAACCAGCATTTGGCTGGTTGGGCAAAGACAAAACAGGTTCTGTTTTTAGAACCTGAACCTGGTTGTTGTTTTCCCAGGTTGGAAAAACAGAACCAGAGGTTGTTTACCAACCTACCACCTGCTATTTTGTCCAGCCAGGTTGGTTCTGTTGCTTGGAATTATTTGGGATCATCCCTGGTTGTTCCCAGGTTGATTCCCAAGGTCCTTGCTAGCTAGAACTATTTAATCCTTCTCTGTTTGTACCTGAATATAGTCAAATTGATTCAAGCGAATTCCTTCCTCGCTGGAATTTCGTTTCTGCGCTATTCGACGGCGGAATGCTACCCGAGTCAACGCTAGTACGCTAGCACTCTAATGCTAGGCAAACACCGTCTGAGCCATAACTTCGTAATGGCAGAACTTTTCGCGAGGCAACTTGGCTCATTTTAAAGCTCTTGGAGCGAGCTTCGATATAGCGAATTCTCAGCTTAATCCGATCGACGGTCTGCACGGCACGCTGCGCGACGTTCAAGGTACTCTTGCTGTTTTGACTAAGTCCTTCTTGATCCCTCTCTCTACAAACTCGGACCCGAGGATAGGGGCTGGTCTTGTACCAGGCACCCAGGGACCCTTGGAGGTGACCCCGAGGAGAGGTTTTAAGTTTGATTAAGTCCTAATAGCTTGAGTTTATTAGGCCCTTACACCAACAAGCTGGTATCAGAGCTGCGTTATAGTGATCCTCGTTATAGGTAGCTATGGCGGGCAACACCTCGGCGGGAGCTGGTGAATCTTCAGCCCAAGATCGTAGTGGCAGCCAAGATTCTGGTCTTTCAGCGCCAAGGGGAGCGCGAACAAACCAGGGCTCGCTTGTCAAGGAGGTGCTGAAGAATTTCACCGTCGAGAAGTTCAATGGTGAGGGCTATGATGATTGGGCCTGGAAAATGCAGTTATATTTCCGTCAGATCGGTTTGCTGAAACTAATGATTGGGGAGGAGCCTAGACCGAGTGACCCCACGCTGCAGGAAGATTGGGACGAGCGCTCCTCGGCTGGCTACTATTTGATGTCGCAGAGTTTGGAGCTGAACCAGCGTCACCACGTCATGCACCTGCTGCCGGAGGTTGAATGCGGTCCGAAGGCGTGGACCGTGTTGAAGGAGCTGCACGCCCCTACCTCCGTTGTCGCAACGTTGATGCTGGAGAGGGAGCTGTCCGTGTTGCGCCTGAGCGAGGGAGAGCCGGTGCAACCAGTCCTGGACAAGATGCGCGACCTCTACGCGAAGTTGGCGACCGCGGGAATCACCTACCCGGAGCAGACCAAGTGCTTGAAGATGCTCTCGCTGCTGCCGGAATCGTGGCTTCAATTTACGAGCGGATTGAGCCTGCCGCAGAACCAGAGCTTGTGGACGCTCGAGTGGGTGCGGACGAAGATTCTGGAGGAGGACTTCCGTCGCCGCCAACTGAGGGGTGGAGACGACGGCAGCAGCGGCTACGGGATGCAAGGGAGCCGACGTGGCAGAGGACGTGGCTTCGGTGGTGCTGGACGCGGTGCAAAGAAAGACGACGACTCCAACGACCAACAAGGAGGTACCGGTTGGGGTCGCGGTGCGAAATCTGGACGTGGGGGCAAGTCGGGTGCTGGTGGCAAAATGAAAGGGAGTTGCTGGTATTGTGAGAAGGAAGGGCACCCCTGGTTTTTGTGCTATAAGAAACCCGATGGATGGACCCCCCAGAATCGTCACCAGGATGGCGGCGCGCGGAGGAACCAGAAAAACGGCGCCAACATGGTCGCTGATTCGTCCGACAACAACCCGAAGGGCAACGGCGGTGCGGAGAAGAAGAAGGAGCGCACCGCGGGCCAATTCTTCCATGTAGGAGACAAGGGGGAGCAAGGAGACGCCTCTGCCAAAGTTGGAGCAGAGCTGCACCCCCTAGACTATTGGGTGTTGGACACAGGCGCTGCTTGGACGATGACGCCGCGCAAGGACCTGCTAGACGAAGTACGAGCTGCACCGATCAATGAAGTGTGCTCCGCCTCTGGACACATGTTGAAGGTGGCTGGTGCGGGACGAGCTGCGTTTAAGGGAGCGGATGGCAAGCCGGTGGTGCTGCACGACGTTCTCTTCGTCCCCGACCTGAAGGCCAACCTTATCTCCCTCCGTAAGCTTGGCAAGGCTGGGGTGAACACCAACACGGATGGGGCACGCACTTATAAGGGGAAGCTGGGCAATCGGGTGCTTTGGGATCTGCACAAGAGCAAGGACGTGTACAGATCTATGTGGCAGCTGCCGGCCCTGGCGTGGCATGGTGGGGGGCAGGCTGGAGAGGGGTCTGCATCCCAGGGGGAGTGCAATGCCGTTGGAGGGGTTGGTGTGAAAGTGTCGGCCAGATCTGGGGAGACAGATTGGGCAACGGCACACCGGCGCTTAGGGCATGTGGCAATGCCTTTGCTGAAGCAGCTGGAGAAGGATGGAGCCGTTAAGGGTCTAAAGCTGAACGGACAGCCACCCGATGACAACTGTGAAATCTGTTTGCTTTCAAAGTTCACCCGTTTCCCTTTCCATAGTGTGGCTGGCAGGAGCAAGAAGCCTTTGGAGCTGGTCCACATGGACTTGGTGGGGCCGCTGCCGGTGCAAGGGCACAAGGGGGAGCGGTATTTTCTTACAATTGTGGATGACTGGAGCAGGCTGATGTGGGCGTATCCGCTGAAGCAGAAGGACCACGCCGCCTCCACGATACGGGACGATTGGCTGCCATTCGTGGAGAAGCAGGCGGAGTGTGTAGTGAAGCGGATTAGGACAGACCGGGGTGGTGAGTTCCTTGGAGCTGAAATGACGGCCTGGCTCAAGAAGCAGGGCATCCAGAGAGAGCTGACCACGGCTTATACCCCACAGTCCAATGGTGTAGCAGAACGGGCAAACCGGACCATTCTGGAGACAGCTAGGGCGCTGCTCATAGAATCTGGGCTGAGCAATTCTATGTGGCCTCATGCTGTCCGGCACGCCACTGTCGCTAGGAACAGGGTGCTCACCAAGGTTGGGGATGACTCGTGGGTGCCGTTGGAGAGGTGGCTTGGGAGGAAGCCGCCGGTGGACATGCTGAGGGTGTTCGGTTGCATGGCAGTCGCCCACGTCCCCAAGACCTACCGCAGTAAGTTGGGGGCGAGTGCAATCTGGTGTGTGCATTTGGGGCTGGCTGCTGAGAGCAAGGGATGGCTGCTGTGGGAACCATCCAAGGGTGTGTTGTTTGACAGCAGGGATGTGAAATTCATTGAGGGCATGATGTATGGGAGCTGGGAGAAACAGCCGGAGGCCCGGGTGTCCCAGCAGATGGAGCAGATCACCATGCAGCTGGACCTGACTCCTAGTGTGTGGGAGGAGGGAGAGGAGGCAGCTGCTGGAAATGGTGATGGAGAGAAGGTACAGGAGGCATCTGCTGGTGGAGAAAATGGTGTGGAAACTGGCGGCAGCACTAGTGGAGCTGCTGGACCCGAGGGAGGAGAGAAGCAGCAGGGAAAAACTAAGAAGCCGAAGGGTGTC